AGCACATTGCCAAGAAATATAAACCACATTGTAATAACTTTTATCCCTAAGATCCTTTTCCCTAAACAAGTGAGTCACTTTAGACCGATTAGTCTGTATAGTATTCTTTACAAAATTATTTTAAAATTTCTAGCAATTAGACTTAGAAGGTCTTGCATGCATGTATTAGTGATAATCAAGTCGCTTTCATCCCAGGAAGACAAAGTTTGAACAATGTGATTATTGCCGCGAGTGTATGCAATTTTTAAAGGGTTGTAGATATAGGAAAACCTATTAAATTAGACATTTATAAAGCCTATGACAATGTAGAATGATATTTTTTGGTTATAATTTATAAAAAAAAAAGGGCTCTCATTTGATATTCATAAATTGGCTCATGACTTGTGTGTTGTACTAATTCTTATTCTTTCAGTCTCAATGGAGAAATTGAGGGCTATATTAATCATTCCAGAGGGCTGAGGTAAGGAGACCCGTTGTCTCCATATTTATTTTTATCATTCTTTTTTAGACTTTTTCAAATCTGTTTAACAAGGCCTCTTTGCATTTAGGGTTGAATGGTTTGAAAATGTGTAGGGATGATGCTTTATTGTTAAGTAAAGTTGACCAATCACAGGTTGTTGTGTTGAAAACGATGTTGGACAAATATTGTAAATGCTCTAGGCAGAAAATTAATTTGTAGAAATGAGCTTGTTTTTTCAGTAGGAACACTCTAGAGGCTGGCAAGAGACTGATAAGCCAGTTGCTGGAAGGGATCTAAATTCAGGAATACTTGGTGCTACCATTGGCGCTGAGGGGATCAAAAAGAGATATTTTCAAATTTGTCGTGAAAGTAGCCCAAAAAAGAGTAACAATTGGAGGAATGGATTTCTTATCATCAAAGCTGTGATAAATGCTTTATCGGTGTACATATATAATGTTGTGTTTCTATCTACCTGGAAGTATCATCAAGGCTTTAGACTCGATTTCAGCAAAATTTTGGTGAGGGATCTTAAAGGAAGATGTTAAAAACTGGGAAATATTGTCTATCCCTAAAGAACAAGGTGAATTGGGTTTCAAGGATCTGAAGAGCTTTAATGAATCCTTATTGATGAAGCATTTGTGGAGGGTTCCAACTTCCAATAATCCAAACTTACTGATGAGCAGACTAATAAAGGCCAAATATATCAAAAAACAGATCGATTAAGTATGAGTGGAAAAAAGAATAACTCTTGGACGTGGAAGAGTTGGATGAAATCAATGAAACACCTAAGGATTGGACTTAGAGTCAAAATTGTGGATAGAAGTAAGACAAGAATTTGGGAGGCCCCTTAGATATCCTTCAAATTCGGGCTTCAAAGTGAGATTGAAATGCAACATTTTATGAATCTGGCTTCAAGAATTTGTTTGGCCTTTGTTTATAATTTTGGCAGGCTTTTGTGAAGGTACTATGTTTTTTTGCCTTTTGGTTACAAGGTCCTATTTATTTTTCGTAAGCTTGTAATAGTTAACTCTTTTTGTTTTCTATTTATTTTGGGTCCACGGTTGGTGTTTTATTTTGAGGAGTTCCTTTGCTCTTTTTTAATTTTTTTAGTTTTAGTTGTCTAGCAAGTGTCTTGGTTCAACTGGTATCCCAAGAGGTGTATATTGTAATGTGGTTGTTCCTTCTTTGCAAGGAAATTTT